ATGTTTGTGTCCAAATTTCTCCTTTCCCTAAGGACACCAGTCATGTTGGATTAGGGGCCCATCCTATTCCAGCATGGACTTCATTTTATTTAACGAATTATATCACAATGAAACATTTTCCAAATAAGATCACATTCTAAGGTATTGGGGATTAGAATTCCCACATACTAACTTTAGGGCACAATTCAACCCATAACAAGGTGGTACATTTGAGCTGGGTGTCAAAAATTCAGTCAGGTCTTAGGCTGACGGTGGATGGCATGGATGCCACAAGTGTGTATAGAGTTTTGGGAAGGCCTGATTAATTCTATGAATGACCAGTAGTCTAGGATAGCTGGACAGTCAGTTCAGGGTAGGGAGGAACTGGCTAGAGATATCAGTTACAACAGCTTGGAGGTTTTGTGTGTCACAATAAGAAGTCAATCCTTTATTTTGTAGCCAACTAGAAGCTACCCAAAATTTGTTTAAAATTAACTTCTGCTACTTTTTCCTAATTATAGAAGCAACAGGTAAGTGTAATTGAGATGTCAGTCTGGACTTTGTTATCTCTTGGAGAGTTTAAGGGGGCTTGAACTTCAACTTGCCCACCCCAACAGCTGTGTGGATCCCTTCTTGTGGCGTTGGTTCTACTACACAAATGAGAAACCATGTTTCCCCAGTTTCCACTTAAAGGAAAGAACACACCTACCATTTCATGAGTTTAGAAATGTTATTTAAAGATTCAGGAGGTTTTGGAAACAGTTGTAAGGCAGAACGTGCACTTTTGCCACTTCTCTGACTTCATTCCTCCCTCATCTTCCTGGAACAAATCCTTTCTCATTCCTCTTGCAGAACAGTTCTGCCCACACCCGCTCCTTCAGGATCACATTTTCTGTGCCAAGCACTCATTCAGTTATTTCTTCCCAAACAAGCATAAATCTCATCCCATGGGGAATTCCAAAGAATGGAATTCTCTCATCTTATTACTTACATATTTTTAAAGAACTTAGAAAACATACCAAGGAAAGTCTTAAATTTACCCATATTACAAAACTGTTAACATGTTGGTATCTTTTGTTCCAGTCTTCATTATATTATACAACTCATTCTATATATACTTTTTTTTATTTGAAAGTCAGAGTTATACAGAAAGAAGGAGAGGCAGAGAGAGAGAGAGAGAGAGAGAGAGAGAGAGAGGTCTTCCACCCAATGGTTCACTCCCCAGATGGCTGCAATGGCCGGAGCTGCGCTGATCCAAAGTCAGGAGCCAGGAGCCTCCTCCGGGTCCCATGTGGGTACAGGGGCCCAAAACCTTAGGCCGTTCTCCACTGTTTTTCCAGGCCATAGCAGGGCGCTGGATCAGAAATGGAGCAGCTGGGAGATGAACTGCCGCCCATATGGGATGCCAGCCCTGCAGGTGGTGGCTTTACGTGCTATGCCACAGCACCAGCCCCTGTATATACTATTTTTTTAATTTCCTGCTTTTAAAAACTTTTTACATTCTATTATGGGAATTTTCCAGTGTTGCTAAAAGTCATCTAAAAACGTATTTTCCAATGGTTTTACAATATTTTGTCATGTTAGCTGCATCAGTTTTTGTTTAAAGCTTTCTCTCTGGTTGGACACTTAGGTTTCCATATTTTTATTGTCCTAAGCTATGCTTGAGAAATAGTTTGATACATGAATCTTGATCTACATTTTTTGTTATTACATCATGACAAATATCTACATGAGATATTAGTGAGTAAAGGAATAAGAACAGCCGGCGCCACGGCTCACTAGGCTAATCCTCTGCCTTGTGGCGCCGGCACACCAGGTTCTAGTCCCAGTCAGGGTGCTGGATTCTGTCCCGGTTGCCCCTCTTCCAGGCCAGCTCTCTGCTGTGGCCAGGGAGGGCAGTGGAGGATGGCCCAAGTGCTTGGGCCCTGCACCCCATGGGAGACCAGGAGAAGCACCTGGCTCCTGCCTTTGGATCAGTGTGGCGTGCTGGCCGCAGCACGCCAGCCGCGGCAGCCATTGGAGGGTGAACCAACAGCAAAGGAAGACCTTTCACTCTGTCTCTCTCTCTCACTGTCCACTCTGCATGTCCAAAAAAAAAAAAAATATATGAAAAAAAAAAGATTAGGACATTTCTAGGCTCAAGATCACTATTGCTGGTGTCAGCACTGTAGCACAATGGATTAAGCCACTGCTGTGACACTGGCATCCCATATCAGTGCCAGTTCAAGTCCTGGTTGCTCATGTTCTGATCCAGCTACCTGCTGGGAGAGTAATAGGGATGGTCCAAGAGCTTGAGCCCTTGCCACCCACGCAGCAGACCTGGCTAGAGCTCCTGGCTGCTGGCTTCAGCCTAGCCCAGCTCCGTTGTTGAGGCCACTGGGGCGTGAACTAGTGGATGGAAGATCTCTCTGTCAAATAAATAACATAAATCTTAATAAAAAAGATTACTATTGCCCCTAGAAAAGGTCCTCAAAACAAAGGAAATGGCAAGATCATATGCATGATTTTCTACAGAATCTAGGGAAAAGATCATTAGAACTTGCACTAAGCTGTGAGGATGGGAATTGGGAAGATGAGGGTGAGGTTTAGTGACATTTCTAAAACAGAGTCAGGGCGCAGGCATTTGACCCAGCAGTTAAGATACGATAAAGATGCCTAATATCTCTATGGGAGTGTTCTACAACACTCAAGACCCAGCTCTGCTTCCTATTCTAGCTTCCTGCTAATGCACACCCTGGGAAGCAGTGGTGATGGCTAAAATAGTTGGGTTCCTGCCACCCATAGGAGAGACCTGGAATGAGTTCCCAGCTCCTAACTTTGGCCTGGCCCCAGCCATTGTGGGTATTTGGGCAGTGGACCAATGGATGAGAGGTCTGTCCATCTCTCTGCCTCTCAAATTAAAAAAAAAACCACACACACACACAACTAAAATAGAGTGAAAAAGACTTGGTAACTAGATATAGAAGGCACAAAACTGTGAGGGACCAAAGACAACTGCCTGTCTTTTCAAGCTAACTGCGGAAATACTGATGTTGTTAACATAAATATGTACAGGAGAAAATAATTTGGTTTAGGACTTCTTTAATTGGAATTATATGCCACTTTCTAAAGGCTCTAGGTGAAATCTAGTAGGGAACATCTGTTGTTTTTGCCTGCCTGGCATCTGTTGCTGGCTTCAGGATTTTTTTTTTTTTTCAGAGGAGAATCTTTGAGAGGCAATCTGGTTAGAAGAACTCTTGCCTAAATGCTACATTTATTTACCAGACACCTGTTTGACATTAAATTGCAGGTGTATTTGGTTTGGCAAATGCAGACTGGGGGATGATAAAGCATCCAAGTTAGCCCTGGGTAGCCAACGCTGGTATCCATCCCTTCTTATTCAAGTCATTCCTCTCCCACTCTCCCTCTTATAGTATGAGCACCCCTGGTGCTACTCTATGGATTCGAGATTGGCACATTATTCAAGTCACACAGTCACAGCCAATATGGCTGAAGTCTAGTAGTGTCCAGGGGAGCTGCTGAGAAAAAGTCTTTCTACGGGAATTGCACAACGAGAGCCATAATAGCTATTTTGCTGGTCCGGCAATGGAATCAACACCAAGTAGAAACGAATCAATTCTGACTACCTGATTCTGATGGCATCACTTGAGCCTTAGGATTCAAGCCCATTGATGCCATTCTAGGACTTTGCAGTCTCATGAGACACGAAACTTTCTTTTTTATCTAAAGCCATTTTGAATAGGTTTCTGTCACATACAGCCAAAGAAGTCCTGGCTAATACGGTATTGGATATCTTTTATATTTAAATATCTTTTATATTTAATAGCTGATAAAAATGTATGGAACATCTAGTGAGGTGCTAAGCCCCACATAAAATAGGCTGATTAAAGGTGTGGCTAATAATGTACTTTAATGGGCAACTTATTAAAATGTCATCACAATCCATAAGTTGGCTGCATTAGCCAGCTAAAATTAACAGCACGAATTTTGATTTTTATGGTTTGCCCTCTATTTCTTTTATAGACTTGAGGGTATCACCAACAATGGTCCTGATAGTAGTAGCCAGCAAAGAAATTACTTGCTTTAATTTTTACAATATTTCAAATATCTGAAATATAAAATTCCATAGCAGGAACTCAAGTTTCAGAAAACAGATTACTAAAGTAGGTTTTGTAGCTCATTTAAAATGCCTAAGAAATGTCCACTTTTTGATGTGTTGAATTTGGGGGGCCTTTCCCCAACACCCATGTTTGCGTTGCTTTTAAAGGATACAGATGATAGAATCTCATCTAGCAATAAAACTTTGAGCTTTCTGATGTGACAATAGTAATAACGGATTGTATACAGTTGTGACAATGAGGACTGGTCAACTTTGTTTTTCTCCTCTAGTATTTATGAATGGCCGGTTTTCTAGCCACCTTTGTGCCTCAGCTGTCTCTTCTGGCCTTGAGTTACCAGTTGAGGATAGTTTAATTAAGCATGTTTTGCTTCACACACTACCCTTGGGTCATTAAAGATTGTAATGGAAAACATGAATAATGGGAAAATAAATTAGTTAAGTGTACTTCAATATGTAAATAAATAAATAAATTAGTACTTCAATATGTATCATGAGATCCACAAGGCATTGTGTTGAAAAATCAAAGACACACAAAAGTATTTCTTATTCTTCTACATCCTACATAAAAGGATCTTTCTACATCCTCATAAAAAGTACATATAACCAGCAATTAATGTATCACAATGTACAGCAACACAATATTTCATCTCTTCTAAGTTCATTGCTTTAAGTAATCAAATCTTTTTCTTAACAGGGTATGTCAAGGAAATCACTAATGAATTAACAATTATTTTCAAAACCAAACAAACCCCGCAGCTGATAAAGAGAAATTCTGGGTGTCTGTCCAGAGGGAACCCCGCATAAGCCCTTTTAAGGTCTCAAAGCTATTTCTTGGGGCTGAGTTCTTTCCGTCCTTTTAGTAAGTGCCAGAAACTTAATCTGTGTTCCTTTTCACTTTCAGAGTCTGCTGAGAATCTACCCTCACTCCGTGTTTACTTCTCATGGCATTTATGTAAATTCTCTCCTCTGAGATGGTCCTTCTTCCCTGCCTCTAGACTGCATGCAGATCAGAAGTCACAACTGAAATGGAAAAGATACCCTCTTGTCTCCAGTTGGTGATTTGCATGTCAGAGGGAGTAGAATGGACAACATCCCTTCCAACCTGTCTACACCACACCGGAGTCGTATTTTCTGGGCAGTCATATATTTTTTTAAGATTTTATTTATTTATTTGAGAGGCAGAGTTACAGACAATGAGAGGGAGAGACAGAGAGAAAGGTCTTCCGTCCGTTGGTTCACTCCCCAATGGCCAAAAAGATCGGAGCTTCGCTAGTCCGAAGCAAGGAGCCAGGAGCTTCTTCCAGGTCTCCCATGCGGGTGCAGGGGCACAAGGACTTGGGCCATCCTCCACTGCCTTCCCGGGCCACAGCAGAGAGCTGGATTGGAAGAGGAGCAGCCAGGATTAGAACCAGTACCCATATGGGATGCCAGCGCTGCAGGCGGAGGATTAACCTACTGTGCCACAGTGCTGGCTCCATGGGCAGTCATATTTCTTGAAAGGACAGCAGTTTGTTTGGGCTTTTGTCGCAAGCTCAAGTTCTGCTATTTCCCAGTGAAACCAGAGAGCAATACAACAAAGGTTGACTTCACTATCATGAATTGATACTGCTTGCTGTAAACTTTGTGGCTGTCATTCCGCACATAGCATCTTTTAAGGGTGGGTTTCAAATCATTTACACAGGTATTGAGAAATCCTGCTCCTGAGTTAGAAAGGGAAATGACCCGGCCAGAAACGGATTGCTCCTAATGCTGAGGTTACAAGTGCCTTCCACTTGAGCTATCACCACAAGGTGAGTGGGGTCCTGGAAGCAGTCTTTTCATGAAGGGGTTGTTGACCATGTCCAAAACAGTAATTAAAAAAAATTCTAGGCATCATTGCTGTTATTGTAAAATCGAGCCTACCTCGTGATTTCATGACCTAAACTCTGCTTTCAGCTTTGAGGTCAGCTACACAAATAAGAAAATGTGCACGTGGGAAGTCAGGTTTTGTTCCCCACCCAGTGTGTGGGCCAGACGGCCCCGTTAGGCAGCAAGAAAAACACAAGGTCCTGGGGTGGAAAAAAGACTGAGGTTAGCAGCCGGGCGCTGACATCTCCGGGCGTCAAGGCCGCCCAGGCCGGTTGCAAGGCCGGTGCTGGACCAGCCGGCGCGTCCCGAGGGAGCACGCCGGAGTCGGGGGTCGTTGAGGGGTCTGCTGGGGCCTGGGTGGCCTGGCGAGGGCTCAGCGGCCACGGCGGCTCCACACGCGGGGTACACCCCGGAGCAGAGGCACCGCGCGAGGGCTGGAGCCGGAGCTGGAGCCGGCGCCGACCCCGGGAGCGCCCGGCCTTTCCCGAGCTCCGTGAGGGGCGGGGCGAGCGCGGCGGGGGCGGGGCCGCGCGCCGGGCGCCCGCCTGGGATCGCGAGCGCGCTGCGCGGGCACGCCGGGCTGAGGCGACGAGGCCGCGGCGGGGCGCGAGCGCCGCAGGTGACCCGGGCGGGGAGCCGGGTGCGCGAGCGGCGGCTGAGGAGCCGCAGGCTGGAGGCGGGCCCTCGTTCGGCTCCGCGCACGGCCTTGGCGCTGCGGGCTGACGAGACGCGGCGAGCTGAGGCGGGCCGAAGGTGTGGGGCACCCACTTGACGGCCGGCGGCGCCCCCCGCCCGGGCCCTCGGCATGTTCCGCGAGGCGAGGGTTCTCCTCCCGCCCGTGGGCTGAGGCGGCAGCGGCGGCCACAGAAACGGGATGCACTTGCGGGGCGCGGCTTAAAAGACGCGGCGGGCGGGAATTGCGGGCCGCCCACGGGAGGGCTTTCGTCGCCCGGCCCCTGCCGCCGCTGCCTCCCGCCGCCACCGCCGCCGCGGGCCCGAGCCGGAGCGGCGGGGTGGGCGCCCCGACATGGCGGCCCGGAGCGCCCCGAGCTGCCACCTGCGGCTCGAGTGGGTGTACGGCTACCGGGGCCACCAGTGCCGCAACAACCTCTTCTACACGGCGGCCAAGGAGATCGTGTACTTCGTGGCGGGGGTCGGCGTGGTGTACAGCCCGCGGGAGCACCGGCAGAAGTTCTACCGGGGCCACAGCGACGACATTATCAGGTACCGGGGGGCGGGGGCTGCGGCGGTCACCCCTGCAGCGGCTCGCGGGGGTTGCACCTGCGGACCTTGGGGGCGTCGTGACCGCTCCTGCGGGGAGGAATCCGCAGCCGCCTGGCCCCGCGTCCCCCGGGCTAGCACCCTGCACACGCCTTGCCCACTCTCACGGGTCCCTGCGGTGAAATCAAGGACCCGTTCCGTTTGCTGCCCCCCCCCCCCCGCCCCATCAGCATTACGAGAACCGCGAAAAGGTTATTTTGTTGGCATTTTGCTCCTTTAAATCTCGGAAGAGGGTTCTTATTAAATGAATTCCTAAAGCGCCGGGAGGGGAAAGCCTATACCTAGCAGAGAACTGACCGAAGCCCACGAGCCCGAGGCTGGTCCTGGGAGGGCGCCCGGGGCGGCATCGGGAGGGCACTCACCTCTTGGCCATAATTCCGAGTCCAGCTTTCACTGCCTGTTATTCTCGGCACATAGGGAAGGAACCCCCGGCAGCCATCAGGCAGTTCATTGGATGTTAAAATGTGCAGTTTGGGATAGGTTTTATCTGAAAAAGTTGCTAAAAATAACTCCGCTGGTTTCCAGTTCTCTTGTGCCACGTTCATTCTAGTACTCCTGTGTAAGTTTACTTGTGTATTTTATTTTAACTCGCATCACGGTGGGTTGTTTTGTTGTTTGGTATTTCTGTGTTCTTTCTTGGGCGGTATCCTGAAGTTGGTCCCAGTGCTGGTTCACACTTCTTTACTGAGCCGTACATTTGGAAGGGAATTTTCAGTCAGTGTCTCAGTAGAACTTTTTGGGTAAAGTTAAGAGCTCCAGAAATTGCTCCAGGCCATTGCTCATTGCCTCAAGCCCAACGTTTTTGTCCTTTACAGAGGAGAATGTGTTGGAAAGATTTTGAGGATGCGTTTGTGTGCTGCTGCTGGTTTTTAAACAGAAATTCTAATTGGGCTTGATGATTCCATTTTATTCCCTTAATTATGATCCAAAGGATTTTAATTAGGCTTCTCACCTCCAGGATCTTGTTTTGATGTAGGCAGGAAGCTCTGATGCTTAAATGCTGTAAAAAAATGGTTATTCCATTTTGTATCTCCGTACATCTACAGTGTGTTAAGAGGCCTGGGACAAATGGTAGGACAAGATGGAGTCAAGAAAAGCAAAATTTGAAATCGTAGACTAAGAAATGAAATGATGTTTTTAAAAATTTATTTAGACACAAAAATGGAGTGTTTTCAGATTGTATTTAATGCATTACTCTGGGAAGGAAACTGACAAGTCATCTCATTTTTCTCAAGTTAGGATTCTCTGTGTAGTATTTATCAGGACTACATACCCATTAATATTGCTGACTAAAAGAGATAAGCACTCCGTAGTTTATCTTGTACTAATTGTGACTTTCCCTCAATTTCCGGTCCTTATCCCTATTCCTTTAAAGTCTCCCTTCTTGTCCACGTGTTAGGACTCCTGAAGTACCAGGCACGCCAGCTTTAGCTACTTCTAGCGCCTTGCCTGAAGCCCTCCTGCGGATACTCAGCCTGGGAGGTGGATGTGAAGGCGTTTGAGATGTCTGATGGTGCACGTGTGCTGCTTTCACTCCTGGTATATAGGAAATCAGTGTGTAGTATGGGACTTCTGAAAGTAAATAAGGTTTCTTTCTGGTGTCACACTGCTTGAATAATATAACATATATTTCAAAATTGCAAAATGTTCCAATTTTGTCATGATTTGATACACGTGTGTGATTTTATGCAAATGATAATCCTTAAAATAACCTTCAAGAGTGAAAAGTTTCCTGAAAAATTATAATTGGTTACTAAAACCTGAATCATGAAGCTTGAATTGGTGGTACAAATTTAATATAATACTAAGAATATAATTTAGAAATAAGTAAAAAGACTTCGGAAATTTTATTGCAAACAATGATGATAGAGATCATTCTTTTTTTTTTTTTTTTTTGACAGGCAGAGTGGACAGTGAGAGAGAGAGACAGAGAGAAAGGTCTTCCTTTTTGCTGTTGATTCACCTTCCAATGACCGCCGCGGCCGGCACTCTGTGGCCGGCACACCGCGCCTATCCAAAGGCAGGAGCCAGGTGCTTCTCCTGGTCTCCCATGGGGTGCAGGGCCCAAGCACTTGGGCCATCCTCCACTGCCCTCCCAGGCCACAGCAGAGAGCTGGCCTGGAAGAGGGGCAACTGGGACAGAATCCGGCGCCCCGACCGGAACTAGAACCTGGTGTGCCGGCACTGCAAGGCGGAGGATTAGCCTATTGAGCCGTGGCGCCGGCCTTAGATCATTCTTGTTTGTGAAATAGATTAGGGAAATACTAAACTTCTGATTTTTTTTTTTTAATTCACTGTCTTGACCTATAAGTATAGAAACTACTCTAGTCATCTTTCTGTCCTGTCACAGCAGAAGATGTAATATTCATAAATATAATGAATGGTAGAAAACACTGTTGTAATTCTAGTTTCAGTAATAAAAAGTCAGTGCTGTTTTCATCATTGGCTTTATTTCCATATTTGCTTGAAACTGTAAAAGTTATTGCTCAAATATGACTTAGTCTGAGGCTAAAACTGTTGCAAAAGGAGCAAGTCATTGTCCTTAGGTTTTGAATCACAACCAGTCTGTCATTTGCTTACTACTGGTCTCCTATTAATGTCATCTGGGATTGCCAGTGGTGGTGCCATTTTTTTTTTCTTGCTAGGTGCCATGTCATTTATTGAAACAAAACGAAACAGGGCAAACACATTTCTTAGTAAGTGTAGTTTGTTAAAAATCCTGTTAAAACACGCAGGTCAGGTGGTGTAGGACTAATCGAGGATCACTGTGAGAAAAGCTCTCAGGCCCTGTACCTGGGAGCCCAGAGAGGCAGCAGGAGACACTTCTGAAAGGAAGAAGCCCCTCACCCCCTCGCCGTCACCCACTAAATCCCTCCAGAAACTACCAAGATGCCTGGAATAAAAGGTTTCAAGTTCAATAGTCACAATCTCCAAATACAAAAAGTAATTACAATTCAACTGAACACAGAAGCTGGTGTGTGAAGTTATAGGGACGCAAGACATCCTATAAAAAGTTAGGTTAAAGATGATTTGGGTTTTGTGTTTTGAGGGTGTGGCTTTTCCTCGGTCACCTGAGTTTGGCAGAAATGGTTATCTTGATGAAATATCAATGGCCAACCCACAGTAAAAATGGACACATTTTAAAAATTAAAAAATCATAATTACCAAAAAAAGTTACTGTTCCCTCCCTCTGTATTTTGCTTTCTAAACTTTAAAAAAAAGTTTTTGCCTTTTTTTTTTTTTTTTAAATCCTGAAAAGTAAACAGTAAAACAGCTCCTGGAAGAGTTTACAACCAACTGCATGAGGGCCTGGGAAGCTGAGGAGCAGGAGCAGGGTCAGGAGGAGACTGCAAGAGGGGGTTCTCCCCTCAGTCGCTGTGGCCTCACTGCTGATGAGAGGGGGGATTCGTCAAAAAAGAGGTAGGAGGAGAGGTGGGAGGTAGGGGCCCAACAGAAAATAAAAGATGATTGTTGCCTGTTTGAATCCAGAGAAAAATGCCTGGCCTGGTGTGGGAGAAGCCAGTCAGCAGGGACAGCTGAGAGTTAGGAACTCAATCCAGGTCTCCCCGATTGGTGGCAGGAACCCAACTACTTGAGCCATCACCAATGCCTCATAGGGGGCACGTTAGCTTGATGCCAGAAGCCTGAGCTCAATCCCAGGCTCTCCAGTATGGGATGTGGTGCTTTAGCAACTAGGCCAAGTGCCTGCCCCTGCATTTATTTTTAATTCAATTTTTTTTCATGAACTTTCTGAATAGCTTGTATCTGTGTGTACCATACTTCTCTAGTCACTCACCTCTTAGTTATATTTATGTCACTGATTTATGCAGAAGTAAAATTCAATATAAGAAATACTTGTATTCATAATACAGGATTTTTGAGTCATTTTTTCTTTTTTTATCTCAAGTTATGCTGATACAATTCTCTAATCATGAAATGTTTTTACAACAAGTTTAAGATTAATTTTTAAAATATTCTAGACTACTACAAATTTATCATAAGGTACACATCAGTAATCTGGTCTGTATGTTGAAACCTGCCTGACTTTCCAAAGGATGCAATAGCTTTTAATATTTGTTCATCAACAATTTTTCGCAAGTTCTTAAAGTTGTGAATACTATTGATAGTTTTCACATCATTTATACTAGTGAAGGTTATTGATGGGGTATAATTAAGTTGGTGCGTTTTGGTTTTTGACTTTGGTTTCCTTATGGGACTCACCAGGACATATTGTTTATGTATTTTGTAGGTATAGAATTTGAAGTTCCTTTTTTTGTTGTTAAAACATGGTGAATGTATCTCATAAAATGGTGATGAGCTGAAGTGACAATGCATTTAAAATACCTTGGAAAGGATACTGTACTATATATAAAAGTACTTCAGAAAACTCATGGGAAAATGGGATTAAAAGATAAATTTATTTTGGTACAGAAACTTTTTGGAACCCATTCATAGTTTCTTCACAATATGCAATTTCCAAAAATGTTTTGAAGACTCCTTGTGTGAATGGAATTCAGGGTATTTTTTTTTTTTGCATCAAAATAAGCATATCTTTTAGTTCCATTTCTATGAACTTTTTGAAGTACTCTCATGTTTTCAGGTTGGGATAATAATAATTCTTGATTGCTTCTATGTATGGCTTTTTTTTTTTTTTTAAAGACAACATGTTTGTTTTAAAGTGCTGCAGCCAATGCTGTCATCCTGATTCCCATGACTATAATTCTTTACATAAGCAGTCTGGGAGATGAGCATAAACTCTCCCCCAAACCTGTTACCAGAATTTTTTTAAAGCACTGTGTAATACTAAAAGCAGTTTTCAGAAAGTATCAGACTATATGTAAATTTAATAAAATGTCTTTGTGTTTATCTATAGGTAATTTTCATGGACTTTGTAATGATTGGTAAAATTTCCCTTTATATGTCTTGATATTGAAACATTCTTA